CAGACATCAGAAAAAAATGTTTAATTTTGGTACTCGATAAAGATAGGCAGCAGTGGTGGCCGCAGTAGTAGACTCTTTGGTCTCGTGATCAGTCGCCGTGCGCTGTGCGAGTTCGAATCCCGTCCCAAGAGAAATGTTTTTCTTGGCTATGGATGTTGTGATTGTCCGTAGGTGGTAGACGGTCTCTGACAGTCGAACGCAGAGGTACCACCCAGCGGATCTCGTAGGCGGGGCCAGAATGTGTGCATGTTGCATAGATTGATAGTAAGTCGTTTGCTACTTCAAAAAGCTCATCGCTAATAACACTCACTGCAACTCTCACTACAGCCCGAACGTCTTCTTTATAATCTGCCATGCCACACCAGATCAAGAACTGCACTGACCTTGCAAAGGTAGGTGTGTAGTGTAAACCTCAACTTGAATGCAAGTACAGTTTGCATCAACTTGCATGTCCTACTTACGCAAGCGGTACATGCTAGTGTAAACTCCCCTTAAGATCAACAAAAGGTAAACTCGTACGCGCATGCTAAGGAAGTTGTCTTACTGACAATGACAGCCTAAATATTGAAGACTCGTACGTTGACCAAAAAATGTTCAAGGAGGTGAGACAAAACAAAACAAGTATATGCTAGTGAGCTTACACGAACAAACGTCCATGCATTTATTTCGATTGCACATGCATGTGTGATGAATGACAGTAATTCCTGTAGCTTTACTATGACCCGCCAAAAACCGTGAAAAGAACTATAGTGACTTTTTGCATAATCTCAGAACGAAGTCGCCAGTTCTTTAGACGCTGCTTTCGGTAAATACATAAAAGCAATGCTACTAAAGACGAAATCAAGTTGCTTTTTGCGATGGCGTTGTTATGGTGACAACCGTACCTTTGAAAATGACACATTAGTCCAATCCTCGGGGTTTTTGAGCTTAGAAAGTTTAATAATGTCCTTAAATTTGCCATGATGGTAGTTGATAGTACTAGAAATGAGAAAAAGCCTTTAATCTACCTGAAACAATAGATATTCTAAAAATATTACCGTTTAAGCAGGTAAATGTTGTTATTTGTCTTACACATATTTGGAGAAATATGCGAAACTCTAGAAATTAGCATTTCTATAACAAAAGCTGAGGAAATCATCCATATAAGTACAATAATTTTGATCTTATGCCCAATTGTTGAAAAGCAATATGTTTACAAAACGGTAAATCGTAAATGGAATCGACGAACAAGAAAAATCGATCCCTAAACCTCACTTCCCACTATTTTAGACGCAATACGACATGAACAGCATGAGCAGATCGAAATCACCTTTGCAGTGGAAAATGGAACTGATTCCTTAACTGACAGCTATCGGTACCAACAAATTTCGAACTGATTACGAATCAGTTCTGTACTGGTTCTAATAGTTTTGATTGCGAGAGTGTCCGAATTTGTAGCGCGTACGCATTTACAGAATAAATAACGAAAATATCCCATTAAGCCACTGGTCTAGCTGTCATCAGTTCGTAAACGATTGTGTTCGACACAAAAGACCTTCTGATAAAAAACTGAGCTACAGACATGACATCAAATCATTAAATGACTCTTCCCCTCCCTCTGAGAGAAATTCTTGCGGGCGCTCATGATCGTGGCTATGAGTAATCCCGCGTGAATGACGATATTGACTTTTAGAGTATACATTTTTAAGGGTAAATGTACGGGGACGACTATGATGAGTGAAATATTCATAGGTACGTTGAATTACTCTGGCTATAGGCGTATGAATGTACCAACGTCAAAAAATATGTTTTTTTTTGTTTTTCCTCGCCCGCCACTGGACCGATATTGAAAAGCTAACAAAGGTTTTCCGTCCATTACATAGTAGTAATCTTGTGTCTAAATTTCATTCAAATCCGAGCGGTATTTTCGAAGTTATGGACGGGCCAAGGATTAGCGGCCAGATAGACGGACATACAGACCGACGGAAATGAGTGACTTGGTTTTTCGTGATGTACATGTCATATAACATCCAAAAAGCGTAATATCTCATTTTTGAAATTTTTCGTGATTTCAATACTTTCTCGCCAGTAGGCGTGGGAAGCAAAAACAATAAATTATCTAAAATTTCAGATCTAACATACGGAAACTTGATTTCATTGATAGTTTTGAATTTTACTTCAACTGTAATTCTCCGTTACGGCATAATAGTTCGGAACTAGTTTCGAACTGTACTTACCTAGGGTATGCGCAGAACAACAGATCAAAATTTGATCTGAACTAGTTCGGAACTGTTTGCATGATGCTGATTTACGGAGTCATGCGCAATAGCTGGTACAATTGCGGCAGTGCTATGGTGGCGTCCATCCGAAGCGCCACCACGCGTTGATTTTCGACGTCGTTTTTCCCAGCACGAATAGCACAGCCAGATTCTCTTGGTATATGGCCTCATGGAACCTACTGCAGGGGTTATGTCAAAATCTGACATTTCCAATCTGTCTAATTTTTAGTTCTGTGGATTGGATTCCGCGCTTCAATCACTGTTTTAAATTGGTTTCGCCGGTATTGTTAATCATTTGGTTGCCAGAACCTGGCGAAACGTTAGAAAGGGGAAAAGGGGATAACGAACGTCAAAGCGCCATCCGTGACACAGCTGATCAATCACTTTTGATAATGGGGATGGGGATATACTCCGGCTGATCAGAAATTTTTTTAGAACAAATTAAAATCTTCTGTAGAGCAAGTAGACGAATTTTACACATTTTTTTGTTTTTAATTGTCCCTATTTTCCTGACGTTGCATTCGGTTTTCGGGGGTTCAAAACTTGAAATAAGTACCTACTTAAAAAATTGTAAGTCAGTAGGTCTGATGGGACAGGACAAAGTCAGAGGAAAGCAGGTAAGAAGAAAGACAGAAGGAAGAACGGCAGCAACAAGTGTGTCGGGTTGAGGGATGTCTTGGGATGGGTAAACTTGGCTGTTGTGCAAACATTTCAATTCTGGTTCGATCTAGAATTGTACGACCTGTTTTGTTCACCGTATGTGCCGCATTCTTATGTGCTAGCTAGTGTAATCTACTGACTTGTACGATAAGGAGTTACTAAGCGACACACAAGAAGTATTTCAAAAGTGTCAGACCGCTGACCAATGCTTTGGAGATGAAAGTAGACTGATACTATGCCTACACTCTATTGCCGCATTTGAGCCTTTGGATTTTTTTCATACCGTCGACGGTTAGTGCTTCCTCTGACTGCGGACCACTGAAGTCAACGTTTGAACTGGAACAGAGAACGGCAACATTAGGAGGCAGAATGGCATAATGTCATCTTCAGCGACGAATCGCGATTCTGTCTAGGTACCACGATGGTCGTAGAACGGTAAGACGACGCTATGGAGAACGGCATGGTATTGGATTTGCTGTTGAGAGGCATGTACACAGGACTGTTGGAGTAATGGTTTGGGGCACTATTGCGTATGATAGCCGACCACCCCTTCTCTTTTTTCAAGGTAACATGACTTCTGCGCGTTATATTAATGATGTCCTACAAACAACTTTACTGCTGTATCTATAGGGCCGTCCACACGTCCTTTTTCAGCAAGAAAACGCACGTCCCCATATTGCTCGCCATACTACGGAATTTCCTCAAGAAGCAGGCGTTAATCTTTTACCTTGGCCACCCTGTTCACCGGATTTAACCCCCATCGAACATGTGTGGTATATGATGGGAAGTAGACTGTCCCCTTTGAGACTCTGCCACAACTGATCCACCAAGTTCAAGTTGTTTGGAATGAGGTTCCGCAACCAGACATTGATCATCTCATTTTGTCGATGCCTAGACAGCTGCGGGGTTGCCTAACATGTTATTAATTTTTCTTTCTTATTACTTGTCAATAAAGTTCAGTAAGAATGTTATCGATCCGTATTTAATATAAGACTACCTCATTGCCAAAGAATCAAGTTGAAGAAATGATTTCTTTTCTTTTTTTGTCTGGGTGTAACACTTTTAATGTCAGATTTGAACTAAAACACAACCACAAAGGGTGCAATAACTTATTAAAAGTAGTAGAAAAACTCAACAAAACAGCAGCAAAATTTACATGTTAAAATACTCATGTAGGGAGTAAAAACATCTTTCTGCTAGATGTTTCTTCGGGGTAAAAATAATTCTTAAACAGCAAACCACTTGGAGTACGAGAGGTGTCTCTGCAGCTGCAGTATTAGCATTTACAGATTGTGTCAATCTTGATAATGAGGGTTCAAAAAGATCGCTTCCCTGAAGTCACCAAGCAATATGTCAACTATTCAATGAGCGGAATTACATACGCTACTTCATACATGTTTCAATGTTGACTCTGTTTGAATTAAACTGCTCGGGCTAATAGGTGACTAGCAAATTTTAATCACAAGTGAGATAGGTGGTTCAATTTGCCTGGGAATTTTGATTGGTATATATGTTTGTGTATGTAGATATTACACAGTGTCATAATTATAACTGAAAAGTATGATGCATCTACAGTAAGCCGCTGACGAATTTTCAATGTAAATTTTGTAACACCAACCTTAAGCTCCATAGATATCATCCACTTCAAGTGAACCATACGCTTGCCTTGGGTACAATTCAAAACATGGTTTTTCAGGTTCAAAATTGAAATAAACACCAATAGCGAAAGGTTAGATAGACTGGAATGGACATAGATAAAAGTACCATACACCTTACTCTGGACAGCTGGATACACTTCTCATTTCATGTACTGTGCATGTTCTGTTGTTTCGTATCATACGTGCTTGACAAGTTGACATTTCGATATATCGGTGCTTCGAAAATTTTAAACTTTGAGATCTGCGGCGATGCGAACACAAATAGGGTAAAGTAGGGTAAATCGTACCGATTTTTTAATTTTGACCACTGTACTCAAAAATTAAACTCTTTATTGATAATATTAATACACAAGCACAAATAAACATTTAGCTTTCTATGAGTCTGAGCAAAAAAAATACAAAAATAGAAAGGCTTGCACACATATTTTTTCCTGCACATGATGTGTGGGCCCATTTTTCGCATCTCACCATATATTCAATAATGTTCTCTTCACATATAAAGCAGTACTAATCAGTAGGATCATATTCAATTTGAGCCTTTACCTCGGCAGATTTTCAAATGGAAGATTGACCGTCACATGCTTCAAAAAGAGAAGTAGAAGAAAGCTTAAGATTTTTTTTACTTTTTTGGTTGATTTTTGCCTTTGCTTACGTTTGTTTTCTAATTTATCCTTATAGGGCGTGGTGCTCACAATGACGGCTAGTTGAGAAGCTTTTCGTCTCTCATCGTAACCTTTATTCTGGGGTAGAGGGTCAATTTCTTCAATAGAGGCATTGAGATCTGTTGTGTTGCAATTTTTGTTTTGTTCAGTACTATCACTGTGAACTGGTGGCTCAGTAGCATCGTCTTTAGGCTCAGTAGTCGTTTCACGTAGATTTTCTGCCTCTGAGTCCTCATTTGCTTTTTCTGAATCATTTTCAAGCAAGGCATTAGCAGCGATAAAATCTGACTCAGAAAAGACAGTGCGGTCAACCGGCCATATTCCAGTACTTTTGAAACCATTCATGATAGTGCTTATTGATACTGTTTTTGCATAGTCATCAGAGAGCAATCCAGTCATGTTGTATTGAGAAACAATGTTATCAGGATTCCTCCTTAAAAATGTTTCTAGACCTTGAGAAAAACAGAATTCCATAGGCTTAAAAAACCTCACGTTTAACGGCTGCAACCGATTTATAGTATGGCCAGGAAGTTGCAGTAGTACAATTCCATGGCTTTCTGCTAAAATGAAAGCCTCTAGATTTTTAGAGTGCGTTGTGTGGCCATCTAGTAAAATTAAAACTTTTTTTTCGGTACTTGGTTTTACGTACTCAATGAAGTGCTGTAACCATTTAACAAAAAGTTCACTATTTATATCTTCAGTATCTGAAATTGTAACAATTATGCCAGGTATTGCAACTATGGTAAGCTCTGGAGCCATATGTTTTCTCTTAAAAAATTATCATGGGCGGTACAGTTTGACTGGCAGTACTGGCACAAACGACAGCTATGGTATTTACGCCCCTTTCACCACTTGCTGTACCCCCAACTTGGTGCTTTCCTCTACGTGCAATTATTTTTTGTTTCTGTCTCTGAACTGTTGAAAATCCACTTTCATCAACATTATAAATTTTTTGAGCCGTAAAACCGTTTTCATCAACACATTTTTCTAAAATATCGAAAAACTCATGGAGGTTTTTTTGGTTGAATCCAGTTGCTCTGTCCATGGAGATTTTCTCTGGTTGTCTAAGTGACAGTTCAGGATGTTGGTCCATAAAATAATAATACCATCCTTTTCCCGCCATTTCCTTATTGATATTGAAACGGTGTGGAATATCATTCCGAACAGCTACTTGAAAAGAAAATCGTCGAACATCCCGAATTATTACACCAAATAATCTTTCTTCCAGCTTTAAAATATGTTTTGCCAATTCCATTTCAATTTCAGTGCTAAAAGTTGTGTGTCGACCCAAAGATTGAACATTTTCATTTGCCTTTTTATTTAAAGTGCGCAAATGGCTCCTAAGAGTCGGTTTTGGAATATTATAACGTCTGCAGCACTCATTAAAACCACACTGGTTTTGTTTGTATGCATTAATCGCATGGTCCATATCTTCTGAGGTCCATCGACAGTATTCCGGTTTTGTTATTAAATTATTTCTTACTTTACTCATATTCTTTTTTAAAAACCTGTAATAAAAACTTTGATGAAAATCGAAGCAAGGAGCCTCGTACGGGTACGATTTACAAAACCGTGGGTGGTACGATATTCAGAACAAGCACGAATTTATGTTTATCAATTAAAGTTCAACCTAAATAAACCCTTTTTCAATTAATTACTACAGCAACAACTAACTTCATGTCCATAAAATACGTAAAAGATATATCTTGAAAATATCGACTTACCAAATGTAAAAAAAGGCTTATGAATAGGAGCAAAAAATAACATGAACAACACTGCTTTTAATTTAACCTCAAACTGACTCACAGTGTGAAGTGAGCTGCAAAGAATAACTTGGGCGGAGCAAATATAATCATAAAAGCTTCTAAATTTTGACAAGAGGTGTCACGGGTAGTAGATCATTCTTTCAAAAATGGCGGTGGTACGATTTACCCGGCGGTACGCTTTATCCGACTCTACCCTAAGTTTTTAGCTAATGTACTAATCTACTATCATATATAATCCAATATCTAAATCCAACGACATTATTCACCCTTATTGACCGCAATGTCCCACTGACAAGTAGGTTTTCTCTCTCTCGTTAAGTGTTGATAACACAAAACTCCCAAGAAAATCATAATGTAAGCTACAATAATTGTACATATACCCTGCTAACTTCATTATGTCAATTTGACAACTGGACTTTAGATTCCCAAGTGAGAAAGAGCTAGTAGTAGGTATAGCTCCCCTTGTAGTTTATGTATTTTAATTAATGAGTCAGTATTAGAAAAAAAAATTAAAATAAAACCCAACGAAATCGAATAGGCTAGAAGGAGCCAACCATTTATGTTTACTGTAACGACGTTTTATGCCAAAATCATGCATTTTTAATGCATACTCCTGGCACTTTTTTAGGGCCCACCGCACTAGAATCTCGTGACAATAAAATGAGAACGTGAAAGTACCACTTATAATGTGAAAGCAAGAACTTTTAAATTCAAAATAAAAGTAAATAAAAGTCAAAGTAAATGTTTGAGATGGACCTATCCATCAAAAAATTCTGTTTTTCTCGAACATTCTTCCTTTTTCAAAGTAGTTGTTAGGTAGCCAATCCTATTAACAAGCTTTAGATTTGGACTGAGCCCACAAAGAAAACAAGAAGTTGACTGAAATAAATCAAAATTACCTCACAACCGTCCAGGTAAAAAAGCCCAACGTTGAGGTATGTCGTTCGCAGAAAAACACCAATTTCATGTGAAAGGTCAACAACTGTGATGCTGGCAGCTTAAGCCTGATGAACTTGTAGCATGAACTATGAGATTCATGGGACAAATAGATCTCAGACTTGCTCCTTCTACCTAGTTTGAATTCATTGGTGTCATCCTCTAATGCCAGTTCGCAGTCCAAGTCCGCTTCATGAAGACTAGAGATAGGAGGTTAAACTATGTAAAAGACGCGTATTCGTAGGAAGCCAATACAGTCACTAGAGCGTCTGCGTACTCATACAGATGCACGTAAAAAACATCAACACTACTTGCCACAATCTTAATGATGATAAAGTTTGTCGATCTATTTACTATTGCAAACAAATGACTGCATATAATTATTGCATACATCGCAAAATTATGAAGGTGAGAGGGATGCCTGGACTTTGAAATTCATTTCCTGCGCAGTGCACATACCTGATAGCCCTTCACCTCTTCACCCCCACTTTAAGACTTCCTATCTCTAGACTTCGTGTGCTGATCTCTATTACAGTCTTTTGAGTTTTCAAATTTGTCACCATGCAAGGACACCAGGAAGTTTATTCATAATAATAAAGCTTTTTTGTACTTGGCACACCAGTAACTTTGTTTCAAATTTCATGAAAATCGGGTGGTATTTCTCAAGTTATAGATGAGCGGACAGACAGACCGACGGAAATTAGTGACATGATTTTTTGTGATATACATGGCATATGACATCTCATCTCATTTTAAAAATATTTCGCGCTTACAATACATCCGCACCCAGTGGCGTAGAAGGTAAAATGGAAGATAAAGCACACAAAGGGAATATTAAAATCATAAAATCGAATATAGTCATGTAATGTGTTAGTAATGAAGGAAATCTGTTTCTATACCTCGCTTGAGAAGGCCGTTATTGATCTCGCACATTATATCCTCTATCTGCACTATGCGCAAAAAGTGCCCAACCAATAATAGCTTACTTTTCAACCTGGTAACAAGCTATTATTGCCCCGAAATCAACAAACAACAATTATTGTCTTTCTCACTGGATATAAGGTGATTTTGTCCACGTAGACGTGGTCTGTTATTGTGTGTCTAAAATCGTAGTCGGACAGTGTATATGAGACCCGAAATCATTTTACTCAATTCTAATCATTCATAAACCAGCCGCTCTCTATAAAAGAAATCCGTCATATCGAATCAATCCGAGTGAACTGGCAAGGGAAACCTGTTATAATTATAAGCGAGCAGCGTCCCTCGGTGATTTCTAACGAGCGTTCACCACCAGCCCACTTAACCCTTCAGGATTCGTTCGAGACTCCCGGAGATTTATGAATCGGCTTACACACGTCTCGGTATCAATTTGATTACTCCACGTTACCACTTCGTGACTTGGGACTCAGGACGCGATGAGGACAAGCTGTTGGCTTCAATAGGCTAGTGAGAGAAATATTCATTTTTCAGAGGGTGCCTACTAATTCGAGAGCTGATGCTTTGAACTATACTAACAAGCAGACCTTATCATATATTCCTAGTCTCAATCTGCAAAATTGTTATTTCAGAATGGACAGGTTGTAAGGCTTTTTGTAAACTGATTTTACAAAAGTATTTATTTGTCAACATAATTCAATTATAAGCAATGAAATTACGGAATTGCTGTTGTTTCTTAAATAATAAAATGCAGTTATCATTTGTGTTAATTTCCTCATTTTACATGTACGTGTTATTTGATTATAATTGTCATAAAATCGCACAAAGCATACATTTAACTATCACCGACAACAAGAAATAAGAGAAATGTTTGAGTAAGCAGATGGTTTTTTCAACTTATCAAAGGAAAAACATTCATAATAGGCTAGTAGAGAGAACTATCCATTTTTCAGGTGTCCATTAATGCGAGCTGATTCTTTAGAGTATACTAACAAGCAGACCTTACGCCCTTCGGCAGCGGTATTATGTGAAAAACCTGAAAAGCTTCAAAAAAAACGGCAAAACGTCATCTTGTAGACTAGGTAGTTTTCAGTGTGCAAATAGTTCGTTCCACGTTTGATCGCTATGATCGCTGCTCGCTGACCTTATCGCATCACGTACGGCTACGAAACGAGTTTACAATAACAGCTTGTGATAACTTAACATCTTGTAGAAAAACCTACGTTATGCCACAAAAACCTACGAAATGTCAAAGAAACCCACGAAGTGTCACTTTTCAAAATACGTAGTGTGAAAGAGACTTGTTAAAATCGTACAGTCTTAAAGTCCGAAGTTGCACAACTCGAAAATAAGGGAGAAATTTATCGCGAAAATATCAGTCTCACTAATTGTCAAAGTTTCAACTTACGAAAATTATTATCTCAGAATACGTAGGTTGAGAGGTTTTTTGTAAGCTGATTTTACAAAAGTATCTATTTGTCAAAATAATTCAATTCTAAGCAACGAAATTACGGAATTGATGTTGGTTTTTGAATAATAAAATGCATTGGGCATCATTTTAATGGATGATACTTGTGATTTAACGAACAATGCTTAAAATTAACTATAGTTGTAGTCACCGTTCTTGGCGGTTGTCAGAAACATCATATGAAATAAGTAAACAGCTCAAGTCTCTTTACCATGAGAGGATCTTAATCTTCAGCTCATCTGCTACTCCCTCCAGTACGCATTTATCTTAGGATTGTCCTGTAAATGGTTTCCTTAACTGTTGGGCAATAAACGCTATTTATTTATATTTATTATTTATATATAACAGGGGACCGCTGTTTTCATTCTCTTCCAGAAAATACTATAATAAATTTAGAACGAGTTGTCGACCTTCCGGGCATTGTACAATTTTATATTGAAGATGGATAACAGGACCACTTAAAATGCACGCCGATGTCAAGTAAGTAGTCACTTGGACAAATATGATTGAAGGGCACTAGTACGTAACGCCAAAGTTTTCGAGACGGAGACTCACAACTAAAAAACGTATGTCTTTGAGCTTACCGAACAAACGTTCATATACAGGGGCAGGTTGAATGTATTTGTACGATGGAGATGGTGATATATAAAGGGATACTGGTAGTCTTACTTTGACCCGCTAAGAACAGTGACTACAACTATATCACCGACTACAAGAAGGGAAATGTTTGAGATACAAGATATTTACAAGTCATCGAAGGAAAAACATGCATCATTTTGTGAAGAAAGTCTCTTTGGACAGGAAGTTTCGATTCAAACCATGCGTATTTAATCGTTTTAATAGCTGATGATGGATCAATGAATAAAGCCGTATGGAATCTTCCTGAGATGAGAGATTGCGTTTCGTGCAACTAAGCACTGGATTTTTGATTTGCCGGTGAAAGTAAACATCACATAGTTGACAAACTGCACTGCGTTTCAGAGGAATCATTTTTACAGTACCTACATCAATTTGTGCATTCAAGCATTTTTGAAACTTAGAAAAATGGTGAGACTGACCCTTTTGAGAGAAATGTCTTCCTTACTTTCAAAGTGTGTATCTTAGACCTTTAGGAATATACTACATTACCAAGTCCCTATCAACACAGAGCTGCGGCAAAATCGATGACCCGAAGGGTGTAAGGTCTCCTTGTAAGCTTAATTTGTTTTTCCAAGACTTCGGTAAACTACTTCGATTCAAAGATACATGACATAGAAGCAAAATAGCGTTTGATGATATTAGCAAACGTACCATGTGACCTTACAAATAATGTTCAAGGCCACTAGCTCCTAGTAAAATGTATGGTCTGCTTCTTATTAAGTCCAGTGATAATCTGAATCTGTGTGTGTGGATGATAATAGATACCCAAGAGACTTTAACTCCGGAGATCAAAAAGGCCGTATAAGTCAGGCTCGCCTCGACCTATACAACGATTCCTAAATCTCCATTAAAAATTCCTGAGCCGTAATGGAGTGGTTGGATACTATTTAGTAGAAGATTATTCCTGGTGTATTTGAATGAGTTCAATAGATTATGACAGAGATACTGCAATCTTTCATTCAAGCTGAAACTGAGTATTCCAGTATTTCAAGATTGAGACGAAACTGAATTTGATCAAAACCGTTTGATTTGTTTCCTGAGGCCTACCAAGAAAATTCTGTTTTTTAAAATAACTAAGGTTTGGCATTATCAGTATATGACGTATTATAATACTATTTGGAATCAGAATTAAAAACTCTATTCACCTATGCAAAAATCCAATATGACGTCATTAAGAAAAAATAATGTTGATGGTGGAGGACGACACACATTGGAATT